GGAAGGAATGTTTGCAGGAGCCAGGGGAGGGCTGCCCGCAGACGCTGTGGCTTCCATAGAGGAATAGAGCCAACCTGCAGTGGGGAGGGCGCCAGCCCCACTTGGCCTCAGTGCTATGACCTCTTCCACTACCTCCAATGGAAGCCAGAGCTCAAGGAAGCCCACTGAAGCCCTCTGTACAGGAGAGCCTTCTGGGCGCAGAGCAAGATGGAGAAGGGGCGAAAGTGGATCTGGAGGGGAACTGGAGAACGTCATCACGTGCGTGGTATTTTCCCTGCCACACAGACAGTACAGGTGACTCCTGAACAACATCGTTTCGAACTGCACAGGTCCATTTGTTTGCAGAATTTTTTTTCAATGAGTCTATTAGAAAAAATTTTGGATAACTGACAATTTGAAAAAACTCGCAGATAAACCATGTAGCCCAGAAATATTTTTTTAAATTAAGAAAAGTTAGGTATGTCATGAATGCATAAAGTATATGTAGACACTAGTCTATTTTATCATTTACTACCATAAAATACACACAACTCTATTATAAAGACTTAAAACTTATCAAAACTTACAAACACGGACCATACATGGCGCCATCTGCAGTTGAGAGAAATGTAAACAAGTGTAAAGACCCAGTAATTAAACCAGAACTGCCTGACATGTACCGCGGCACATACTGTAACAATTGTGTAGCCACCTCCCATTGCTATTGCAGTGAGCTCAATTATCCCATTAAGACGCCCAGTGATGCTAATCATCTCCCCGTGAGCAGTTTGTCTCTCCAGGAAAGTGCATGTTGCAGTAAACAGTGATCTCTCGTGGCTCCTGTGTACTTTTCATCCCGTTGAGTTCAATACTGTAAACCTTGACTAACACCATGGGACCCATACGAAGTGGCACTAATGCTGCTGGAAGTGCCCCCAAGAAGCAGAGAAAAGTCAGGACATTGAAGTTGAATTGCTTGATATGTACCATAGATTGAGGTCTGCAGCTGCAGTTGCCTGCCATTTCAAGATAAATGAATTCAGTAGAAGGACCATTGCAAAAAAAAAAAGGAACTTCATGAAGCTGTTTCTGCAGCCACACTAGCAGGTGTGAAAAACTAGCACGTTTTGCAAAATGCATTTTTATCTTTATTGAAAATGCAGCTTTATGTGGGTGCAAGATTGCTATAAGACAGACATACCTATAGACCCTTAATATGATTCAAGGAAAAGCGAAGTCATTATATGATACTAGTTGCCCGGTGCATGAAATTCGTGCACATCAAAAGGGAATTAATTAGAGGAAATATTTTAATATTGCTATTTGCCCTTTTTCTATAATAGAAGTGTCAGAGGTGAAAGAAAATTAGTAAAATGTATATGAAAATCTCCCTCCTGTCAGAGTCTGGGGCATGCCGTGGGACTCAGAGTCAAGTCTCAGCCCACCCACGCATACCTCGGAATCACGAGAGACGCAGACCCGGCTGGCCCTACCCTCGTCCAGCCCCACAAGGTGGGGGCACAGCCTCAGATACCCCAGCCCGACCCAGGTGGGGGGTGCGGTCTCAGGTTCCCCGGCACAGCCTCAGGTCCCCCAGCCCCAGTACTGGGGCGGGGGCACCATCTCAGGTTCCCTGGCCCGGCCTCAGGTCCTCGGCCCCCACCTGGGGCAGGGGGCATGGCCTCAGGTCCCCCTGCCCTGGTGTGATGGCATGAAGGTGTGACAACCATTTGCATATTAGCTCTTTATTATATAGGACTAGAGGTCCAGCACACAAAATCGTGCACGGGTAGGGTCCCTAGCCTAGCCTGCGATCAGGGCCATCTTCCGCCCACTCACCAGTCCCCAGTCCTGCCCTGCCACTGCCCACCCTGGTTTCCTGTGGTTCCCCATTTGCCATTCAGCGACCAGAGCCTGCGGGCCGGAAGGAGGGACCAAGAGGTCTGACTTCCACCTGCTCGCCAGCCCCCAGTCCCGCCCTGCTGCCACGCACCCCGGTTCCCCGTGGTTCCCTGTTCGCCATCCAGTGATTGGAGCCTGCAGGCCGGGGGGAGGGACCGAGAGGTGGTCAATACACCTCGTAGCAACTGGTCAATTGGTCGTTCTGGTCATTACGCCGTTATGATTGCTGGCCTTCTGTTATATAGGATACGATATGGAAACACTAGAACAGGGGTGGGCAAACTTTTTGACTCGAGGGCCACAATGGGTTCTTAACCTGGACCGGAGGGCCGGAACAAAAGCATGGATGGAGTGTTTGTGTGAACTAATATAAATTCAAAGTAAACATCATTACATAAAAGGGTACGGTCTTTTTTTTTTTTTTTTTAGTTTTATTCATTTCAAACGGGCCGGATCCGGCCCGCGGGCCGTAGTTTGCCCACGGCTGCACTAGAAGGAAGGTGAAGGATCTACAGCTTCTCTCCTGCAGGGACTCACAGTGTAGCATAAGCCTCAGACAGGGAAATAAGAATTATACAAGGGGAGAAGTGCTGTAACAGAGATGTGAACAAAGATGGATACAAAGAAGGAAGTAACTGAGATATGATCCAGGAAGTTTAAGTGAGGAAAGGAAAGAAAGAAATTTCCAGGGTTCACACAGTTTGATTCTTGATAATGTCTCTGTCTCCAGTTTATAAGATCTGGAGCAGAAGTGGCAGTAAATATCTTCTCAAGTAGTGACATATGAAAACCACAATTCTCTTGCTCTTACGATCATCCCTATCACTTGGCTTACCTGCACAGTGAAGACGGAGCATGGTTGCCCGCCTCAGCCCAGGCTCAGGCCTTTTTCCTTCCACACGGACAGATCTGCTTTTCCTGATGCTGAGACTGCAAGACAGTGACTTTTGATTCCTGTTCACACTCAACGGATAAAGTTCCTCTTTCAAGATACTGTCTCAAGTGTTCTCATTCCAAGGGGTAGTTTTATGGGCAGTGACCTGTGTGAGGCCTGTCTTCTCTCCCACAGACCTATCACCAGGTGCCCTACCCTGACTCGCGTTAGGGACCACTCCTCAAGTTGTAACCCTGGATAGAGTTCTTTTTTCTCTTCCTCCCCTACATCTTTGTTACGTATCAGGAACATTTTAAATAAAACCTTTCTTTGGGGTTTGCAGCTGTATGTGTGTGAATGATTGAGGGTGATCTAAAAGAAAACAAAGGGTTTTGGCAAATCATCATTACCACGAGTGAAATCTACAAAGGATGCAGCAGGAGGACAGATACATAAATATTATGTAATTGTGTACAGTTTTAATCCAGGAATTTTAAATCTTTAACACCATTATCATGTAGTTACATCAGTGATCCTAGAAATTAGACACCCCTCCCCCCCAAAAAAAAAAAAACCCACAACTTTTCTAAGAACACCCCTACTGAAATGGAACTGACAAAAAGAAAAAGTGTTGTCTGGTGTCCTGACTTTAAAGAAGTATGAAATTAAAAGAAAAAAAAATGAAAGCAATGTCAAAAGTTAAAATCACTTTCCATTCTATCAAAAGCTTGCTTCATTGATTCATTAAATATTTATTGGCACCCACCTGTGAGCCCCAGCTCAGGCTGCAGGTATAATTTCAGCTTTGCCACGTGCGGAGCCGTGATTCCCTCATCTATAGAATGGATAGAAACGTGAGAATTATCTCACAGGTTTCTCATCAGAATTAAATACGACAATGCAGGCATAGTGCTCAAGACTGCTTGACACCGCATCAGTATAATTACTCTTAACCTTTATTTCCCTTCAGCCCTGCGGTTAACGTCAAGTACCTTTGAAGGACATTGAAAAATCCTTAAAGTGAAATTTTTGACTACATTAAATTCTACCCGAGTGCCTCCTATATCTCTAAATCGGGGCATGTGGAGATGGATAACCAGGAGCAGTCTGAACTCAGCAGGGACAGGGCAAGTCCCTCCCGCTTTGGACCCTCTCAGGTGTGTCTTAAGGAAAGCTGAAGCCCTGCAAATGGACGGGCTCCTCAAATGTAAGTTCCAGGTCATCTTTGCAGATGCCCCTCCCCTCCGGTCACCCGGCCTTTCCCCAGCCCGGCGCCCCTCACTGGGGTTTGCTACCCGGGAACCCTTCCCCGACAGCAGCCTCCAGGGGGCCCCTCGCGCCCCTGCGCTGGGCGGGGCGGGCGGCCGCACTGCGCATGCTCCGGCTGGCGGGCTGGGTGCGTGGGCCGTGGGCGGGCGCCGGCGCAGGTCCGCGAGAGAACCCCCCCCCCTCAAAAAAAAAAAAGAAAAAGAAAGAAAAACACCTGGTGCTTCTGTGTGCCAGGCACTGTGCTCGGCACGGGTTGGAATTTAAAACCCAGCAAGGCAAACCCTCCCCGAGACAAGCTGAGGCTCAGGAGGTTACTGACTCCATGTGAGGGTCTACGAAGGCGTCAGGGGTGTGTGTGTGTGTTCAACCAAGAGAAGATAGGAACCTTTGTAGATTTAAGGAAAGATATGTTTATTTGGGCTCTGTTGCCGGGGAAGAGTTCCAAGAAGGGGATGTTTACATAGGCAGCCAAGCGTCCGCAGTTCTAGTTAGTTACCTACATTCAAGGATGAGCAGTTTCACATCAGGTGGGGAGAATATGCAGATAAGGTAGGGTCGCGGAGCACCTGTAGTCAGGAGTCTTGGAAGCAATTATGTTTAAATTTTATCAGGATGAAGAAAGAACAGGCATTTCCTTCCATAATTACAGTGGGGCCTTGACTTACGAGTTTAATTCGTTCAGAGACCGAGCTCCTTAAGGAGCTCCTTAACTCAAATTACTCTGTCAACTCAATGCAAAAAATCAGCCGAGAGACAGCTGGTATCTCAAAAAACTCGTTAGTCGGGACACTCGTAAGTCAAGGCCCCCACTGTATTTACCTTTTTAATTGGAACTGTTTGCGTATACGTGGCTAACCCCACTGAAGGCCTTGATTAGGATTTACTGTGTTCCCTTGGTTACGAGTCAGTCGGAGCAGCAGCTCAGCCACCCTTTCTCCGTGTGCGCGGGGGGCGGGGTGCGCTGTGTGTACACATCACCGCCAGCCAGGGAATGTACAACACCCTTATGGTTTCCAGCTGCCAAAGGGAAAACAAAGGTAAAGATATTGTTCCTCTTAGTTAAATGCATTATACTAGTATTTAGGGATATTTTAATTTGATGCTAAATGATTAAAAAAGAAATTGAGTTTTAAAGAAACACTTTATTGCAGTAACTAGTTGGTTGACATTCCTGTAATAATGTGCAGGGCACTTCAGTTTGATATCTTTTAAGTCATAATAATGGTAGAAATAAACTCAGCATTTTATTGAATGTTTGCTGTGGATCGCATAGTGTGTTAAGTAAGTGCTTTACATATATGCATTATCTTCTTTAATCCTCACAACAGTGGGGTGAGGTAGGTGCTACTGTTATCCCCATTTTATAGATAAAATAATTTAAGTTCATTAATGGCATAACCCAGATATGAACCCAGGTTTCTCTGACTTTTCTTTTTTCTTTTTATTGAATTTATTGGGATGACACTGATTAACAAAATTACACAGGTTTCAGGGGCATAATTCTACAACATTATTTGACTTTTAAATTCATCAATAACCTATCTAGGTGAGTATGTGGGGAAATGTGCATCCTCATGCATTGTTGGTAAGAGTACTATAATGATTTATCCTTAAAAATGCACAGCCTGACCGGCTCAGTGACTGAGTGTTGCCTGATCTATGAACTAGGACAGGGGTGGGCAACCTTTTTGTGAGTGCGTGCCCAAACCAGCAAAATCTCTGACTCAAAATTCTTCTGCGTGCCAACCCTAATTTTTTGAGAACATGTTACGCCTACTTGATAACTCTTAAGGTGTACCTATGTGAAGAACCTTGAAAAAATAATAAAATTCATTCGAGCGACAAAAACACAGTATATGATGATGAAAAATACATTTATTTTTTAATGTATACATGCACACTGATAGTCCGACAGAAAACTTTATGACTCCGTTTGATATTATCAATGAGACTTTTGCTGCTGCATCACTGATGACAGAGATTTTACATCAGGTTTATATTTCGTGACCTTCAGAGATATGCACGAGCTACTACTTTCATCAGTCAGGCTACTCCTATTACGAGACTTAACAAAATTCATCACTGAGAACAAAGATTCACAAGCGTATGTGGATGAAACCAAAACACTGGTCGGATCTAGGAAGGCAGGGAGAGTTAAGGCAGAGGCATAGAAATTGCTCTTCCCCTCTCTCATCAATCCATGTCTATGGTCTTTAAGATAACTTGTTATGTAAAATTATTTATCTAAGATGCACCTACACTGAATTTATCTGAAAAATAAAAAGTCGATATTAAGAAAAAAATTGTAAATGGAAGATTATAAGAGGGTTTTGCGTGCCAGCAAAAGTTACTGGCGTGCCATGTTTGACACGCGTCACAGGGGTTGCCCACCTCTGTTCTAGGGGGTGCGGTAATTTTAATTACAAAAATGATGCTTATCTATATATTTCCTGATTGTCTACATACAGTGACCAAATATTTCATTTAAAAAGGAATTTTAAAAATCACGCGTGAAAGCACTGGTGGAGGAGTTAAGATACAGGTTTCCTTAAGCTTTATAAATAGTGTAAGGTCTGCATTTCATTTCATAGACTATGGGGACCTCTGGAAGTTTTCTTGCTGTGCGTATTTCTCCACCTCAGAAGTGAGTAAAATGGTTACTGTTCCCATCTTATATAGATACTAGTTTACAGATTTAGTGGCAATATTATATTATTTTAAATAAACTATTTTTTACTTTCTTTTCATTTGTCCATTGCCAAAATATAAGTAAATTATTTCCTTTATTTTGGTGTTATAAAAGTAGCCGAATTTATTACTTCTTCTTTTTTTTTTTTTTTTACATTTTCCAGAGAAAAATAGAAAAATATACTTAGGATCTCATTGTCCATTTGAGATCCTTGTTAACTTATTAGCATTTTGATATATTTCCTGTCTTAAAACATTATCCAATGGATGCTAGAAGACAAGAAATGAATCATTTTAAAATGCTGAAAACAATTCTGCCAACCTAGAATTCTGTATCCAGCAAAAATAATCTTCAAAAAATAAAACAAACAAAACATTATTGTACTCATGCTGTAATTATTCAGCTCTTTCCCACTCAGCATATGGTACACTTTTGCCTGTTTTACTGAGACTTCAAAACCATAATTTAGTGATATTGTAATACTTTACATAGTGGATGCACTGTGTAGTTAATTTAGCAATTTCCTGATTGTTGCACATTTAGATTGTTTCCAAATATTTAACATAAGTTATGTTTCAATTAACATCTTCGTGCAGAAATTCTTTTCTCCATATACTAGCTTTTCAGAAGTGGAATTATCAGGTGAAAAGGATAAACATTTTAAGGTTTCAATACATATTACTAAATTGTGATTTTTCTGATTAAAACTGGAAATTTAGCTTGACTTTAGGAAATTGAGGTTGAAATAATTGTCTGTACAATATAAGACAGCATAGAAGCACTACATAATTTAAGAATGTTCCAATTGTATGCACCACTAATGTATACATATGGGTATAAAGTATAGTGTATAATACTGACTAAAGCTATGTCCATTTATAAGTTTTCCATGTATAAATAGAAATAATTAGGTCTAGGTAGCTTGACATCCATTGTTTAATAGTATTTTATAAAGTAGTGTTAACTTTTACTTACAGTAATCACATAGCATTTTTCAGAGGTTTTCAATTCAGCACTTGGCCAAAAACTACAGCACGACATTGGCAAATAATAGACTTTATGTATAATGCAAATTGGATTTTATGATTTTTAATTAGTTTGTGTGATTTTATTTCACATGTTTTAACTGTTAAAGCTTTTATTATGTTAGGTTTTTAAAATATTTGTCTCCTTTACTATTATCTATTTCTTTCTGGCTGGCATAACACATTTTGTTTATCTTTGTAGATTCAGTATTAGCTCATAAATGCTCAGAATTACTATTATTAGTAAATTAATTTCTTGTCAAAGCTTTACATTTAAACATTTAAAAATTCTATGTAGCATAATTTGCTTCTAATACATCATTTTATTAGAAGGGGGGGAAACTAGTAGTTATTGATTACTATGTGCCAGGGGCTAGGCTCCATGCTTCATATACATGATCTCATTTCATTATCGTGAAACCCTGTGAGATAGAAGTTATTACTCTCATTTGACACAATGCAGAGATAGGCCCAGAAAAATCCTGGTTAAAATATAATCAGATCATGTCATTCCTCTGCACAAAACTCTCTACTGTGGTGTTGTCTAGTATGGTAGCCTTTAGCCATATATGCATTTGAAATGTGGTTTGTCCAAATTAAAATAGACTGTATATATAAAATATACACTGGATTTCCAGGACTTAGTATGAAAAATAGAGTGTAAAATATCTTGTTAATAATCTTTTATGTTAATTACATGTTGAAATGATAATACTTTAGATATATTGGATTAAATAAAATACATTACTAATTTCACTTGTTGCTGTTTTCCTTTTTTAAGAAATATGGTTATTAGAAAATTTAAATTATGTTTGTGGCTCACATTGTATGTCTGCTGGTCAACACTGCTCTAGTGGCCTTCATGTCCATTGGTGTGGTCTACAAGGCTGTATGCTGTCAGCTCTTTGTAGTGCTCTGATCTCCTCTCCCACTGCACTCCCCTTGCTTGCCCCTCTCTGGCTACTCTGGCCTCCTTCCTACTTAAACACACCAGACTCTCCACATCGCTAGAGCCTCTGCCTTTGTTGTTCCCACTGCCTGATTGCTCTTCTCTGAGATAGCTACAGTGTCCACTCTCACCCCTCCTCAGGTCTTCTTTAAAATCACACTTTCTCAGTGACTATCCTATGTAAAATTACAGGCTCAACCTTCCTTAACCCCAAATCAGGCTCAAGTCTCTCTCCTAAGTGTCCCAGAGCATCCTACAATCCCCCTATAACAGAGTTTTTAACACATCGTTTTATACTAGTAATGGTCAATTTTACTTGTATGCATTCTCTACTAACTGATAGGAAAGGTGTTAAAAATTGGTGTCTGTAGAAGTTTTGTACTATTCTTGAAAATTTAATGTAAATTTGAAAGTATTCAAAAATAAAAAGTTTTAAAAGTTATGTCAGTCATTCCCAACTAAATCATTTTGTTTGCCTCAGCTCTTTGTTATGTAGGTTTATTGTATTTGAATGGAACAAACTTTCATGTCCTTAAACTATCCTGTACTTCAGACTTTACTAATGCATATCAGTCATCTCAATAAATCTGAATTTAGTAAATTTTACTAGAACAGGACAGAAAGTGATGGCTAGTGTTGCTTTTCTCCCTGAAAGGAGCAAAATCATGCTAAAAATTGCTATATATATAAGTGCAAATTTTGGTTCTAAAAATGTAATGGTTGGAATGGACTTATAATTTTAAGTATTTAAAAATATGATTAGTTGTATATATAGTATGATTTGCAGCTAACGAGATAAAAATTCATTTCGTTATTCTTCACATTTTTCATAATTCTATGACCTTTACTGTAAACCTCATGTAGACAAAGCAGAAAACATTTTGCATTGAATACTTATGCTTTTCATTTTGCACTGCTTAGTCCAAACAAAATGTCCAGCAAATAAGTCTAGTTGTTTATTTTTAAATATACAGTGGGGCCTTGACTTACGAGTGTCCCGACTAACGAGTTTTTCGAGATACGAGCTGTCTCTTGGCCGATTTTTTACTTTGAGTTGCGAGCTAAAATTTGGGTTACGAGCCAGCTTCAGATACCCCACCGCTAGTTGGCACAGCGAACGTCACAGTGAATGCCACAACATCAGCCCAGCATCACGTGTCTCACTCGTTCACTTTATGATTTGACATACGAGTAATTTGAGTTACGAGCTCCGTCACGGAATGAATTAAACTCGTAAGTCAAGGCCCCGCTGTACTAAAACTCAGGATATTAATGTGCATTAACTTATGGTAGAAATAGTAAAGATGAGTACCAGTGGTATATACTACTTAAAAATTAATTTATACTAGCTTTATCCCACTTTTAAAAATAATAGTGGAGTTCTTTGTTTTTCTCTTTAAAGATATGGATGTAATGAGGCCCTTAATAAATGAGCAGAATTTTGATGGGACATCAGATGAAGAACATGAGCAAGAGCTCCTACCTGTTCAGAAGCATTACCAGCTTGATGATCAAGAGGGCATTTCGTAAGTGTTATGGTTACATGTCTCCTTTTCATTCAGTATATACTTGGTAATCTTCTATGGGCGAGGGGCCCTACTAGATAGTACAGAAGACAAAGATGGATAAGACATAGTTCCCGCCCTTAAGGTGTTGATAGTCTATTTGGGAAAGAACAACTACATCTAAATTACAGAGTAGTGTATAGGAATTACTCCAATGATGATACATATCAAAGGTTATGGATCTTGAAGGAAGATCTGATTGAGAGGATATAAATTTTAAGAGAAGTTGCTTCTGAAATAGGAGTTAGATCGTGGGAGGTAGGTAGTAAACCCTTCGTTATGCAGTTGAACTTTTTAAAACTTTTCTTATTTTATCATTAATAGATTTGAGTGAGTTCTTATTCTAGGAGTAATTAATGATTTAGCAAAGTAATGTTTTAATTGATAAGAAAAGAATAGCATAAACTAAAAAATTTTAAGCATTTTTATTTTCTAAGTTTAAAGTTTGTGCTAGTCTTCCTAGTTTATTTTTTTCTTGGTCAAGAGACCTCCTTCAAATGCCTGTTAAGAGGAAACTTTTCTTAGGTGAAACCCCTTAGGGCAGTGGTGGGCAAACTGCGGCTCGCGAGCCACATGCTGCTCTTTGGCCCCTTGAGTGTGGCTCTTCCACAAAATACCACGTGCGGGCGCGCACGTACAGTGCGATTGAAACTTCGTGGCCCATGCGCAGAAGTCGGTATTTTGTGGAAGAGCCACACTCAAGGGGCCAAAGAGCCACATGTGGCTCGTGAGCCGCAATTTGCCGACCACTGCCTTAGGGAGTTCATAGTCTAAAAGTTAACCAGTTTTTATCTTACCTGATGATACACATTGTTTTAAAACTTGTATGTTTTTTCTTTTAATTAACTTCCTCTTATGTTCATCATAGATCATAGATCAAATATGTTTAGTACCATAATTACATAGACAATGTCAGTAAATTGCTATCTTACCAACCTAGCTATATAATCTTCAGTATTGTTCTGAATATTATAGCAGCAAAGAGTCTTATGAGAAAATTACCTTTTCTTTATTACTTTAACTAGAGGCCCAATGCATGAAATTTGTGTAAGGGCCTTGGCCCCGGCCCCTGCCTGCCGCCACAGCTGGGGGCCTCTGCCGCCTCTGCCTTGGCCCCCGCCTGCTGTGGCTTTGTCTGGAAGGAAGGACATCCAGAAGGACATCTGGTCTAATTAGCATATTATGCTTTTATTATTATAGATATGTACAAAAATAATTTTACTTAAATATCTCACTTAGTCTCCATAATAATCCTAGGTATTTTACTTTTATTGTATTTTTATTCTTTATTTTATTTATCTGGTCAAGTTCTTAGGTAGTGTTGAGAACTCTTTTTTTTTGGAAAATAAATTAAAACCACTATTAAAAAATTCAGTCAGTTGTATTTTACTTTTAAATGGCAAAGATGGGACTTGAACCAAATATGACTTCTGGCCCATTTAACTTCTGGTTGAATGGAAATGTTGATTCCTTGCCTAGATTAATTTTTAGTTATCTCCTAATGCTAAAACCATGATCATGTGATTTTAATAGCTTTTGTTCTAAAATGTTTAAATCTTACAACTTTCACTTTTCAGATTTGTACAAACTCTTATGCATCTTCTTAAAGGAAATATTGGAACTGGCCTTTTAGGACTTCCATTGGCCATAAAAAATGCAGGCATCGTGGTAAGATTATCATTGTGCTCTGTAGTTACCACACAGCTATCAGTCTTCATTTACAGCAAAGATTACCACAAATTAACATCTGACCTAGTCAACTAAAACATGGTCAGGTGATAAATAATCATTCAGCCATTGTATTGATAAAGTTATGCCAATTATGATAATAGTATCTAACCAAAAATGACAGTTAATTACTCTTTTCATTTCTACTTAATTAGTAATATGTATTATTTGACAGAAAGATCCTAAACTAGTATTTGAGTTTACAGGTATGTTTATATCTTATTATTCTTGGATTTTCAGTGATTTACTAGTAAGCAGTGTACACATGTCAGCACATTTATTTATAGAGAAGATATTAGTGAACTTATAGTTTTTTAGATTCAGAATAAAATATGTAGTTTTCAGATTTCAAGAACAATAGTTAAAAGGAATAACATGTTTTGAAAACAAATATTTAAGTCTTAGAACCAATTATTATAGTTGTTGCAGAGACTCTAGATAGGAGAGAATTCACTTAAGAAGTAATGAAATTATATTTAACCCTTTTTTAAATGACTAGTTTTCTAAAAAACAATTTTAATATCATCTTTCTCTGCATTTGACTTTGTTCACTCTAATTTAGAGAAACTTAAAATTTTCTAATTATAAAATGAACTTTGGCAATATTTTGTCTGTGTCTCAGCAACCCAAGAATAACTTTAATTTTAGTAATAAATACTTGAAGTTTATGTACCACTTTTTCAAATAGTTATTTTCTAGGCACAGTTCCTCACACATAGTAAGTGCTCAATAAGCAGTCTATAGAAGAAATGGATTGCCCACAATCCCAGATAGATAAGAGTGCTATTTTAGTCATTCAGCGGTCGCCAACAGGTGGTCTGCAGATCACTGGTGGTCTGTGAGGTCCGAAAGGTTGGCGACCGCTGTTTTAGATAATGATTCATAGTTGCATGTAATTATTTTGGTGGGGCACTGGTAGTGATAGACTTGCTGTCTCATGTTAAATAATATGTATTCCGTCCTACTTTGTTGCATATCTAGCTATACTCTATTCATAGGTTTAGACAGCCAAGTTGATAAGATGGAATTATATGTGGTAATTTAAGTATTACTGGAATTCTTTCTATATCCAGTTTATTAGTTTTTCCATTAAAAATATTTAATCATTTTGTCCAACAAATATTTATTGGCAAATGCATAGTTTGTTGTCTTATTGCTTATAAGGCAACTTAAATTTTGTTAAACTTAAATATGTCAACCTTTTAATTTTTCCCCTACAGCTTGGACCAATCAGCCTTGTGTTTATAGGAATTATTTCTGTTCACTGTATGCACATTTTGGTGCGTTGCAGTCACTTTCTCTGTCAGAGGTAAATGTGGATTCATTAAGTCTATTTATTTTGAAGCTGTGTAATTATTTAAAACAATAGATAGTCTTACATTTCTACACTGCTTTTCAACTAGCAGTTGTATTTCCTGTAATCTATTATATAGACAAGTTTAAGATAATGAATTTGGAAAATGGTAGCATTTCATATGGTTGAAATCTGGTCAGAATATATTTACTTATTTTAAAATATAGCCTTGCTCTAGCCCATGTTGTATAGTGGTTAGAGCAAAGGCCCACGCACCAAACGCTTGTGGACCCGATTTCAAGGACATGTACCTGGGTTGTAGGTTCGATCCCCAGCCCTGGTTGGGGCTCTTGTGGGAGGCAACCAATCAATGTGTCTCTCTCACATCGTTGTTTCTCTTTCTTATGCTCTCTCTCCCCATCTCCTTCCCTTTTTCCTCCCCCTCCTTCTCCCCCCTCCCCTTCCTTCTTTCCCTTCCACTCTCTCTAATTATCAGTGGAAAAAATATATTCAGGTGATGATTAACAAAAAACGATAAAGTGAAATATAGCCTTATTGGCCTTGGCTGGGTAGCTCAGTTAGTTATAGTGTCATCCTGACACACCAAGGTTGCAGGTTCAATTTCCAGTCAGGGCACATACAAGAAGCAATCAATGAATGCATAAATAAGTGGAACAACAAATTGATGTTTCTCTCTTTCTCTCTCTCTCTCAAAATAAATTAAATAAATATATTGCCCTATCAGTCGTAGAATGGTTTCTTTTATTTAGTGTAAATGAGAAAATCAGGAAAGATATATGGGGAAATGGAGGAAGCAGTACTGTTTTTAGTTATAGTGTAATGATCTCCAATTTGTTAGTAATTCAGTTTGGGGTATAGTGACTTTAGTGTTCTTTGCTGATATGTGGATTGGTAGATAGTCCATAAAATAATATTCTTTTTCTTTATCTTTTATCATGAAATGCTTCTACTTTACAATGGACCACTTTTAAAAAATAAATATTGTCTATTCTAGTAAACTAAAATTCTTTGTTATAGTTGTTAATCCTCACCCAAGGGTATTTTTCCATTGATTTTTTTTTTATTATTTAGAGAGAGATTGGAAGGTACGGGGAGAGACACACAGTGTGAAAGTGACATGTTGATTGCTTGTCTCCTGCACGTGCCTTAATGGGGCTGTAGATCGAGCCTACAACATGGCCCTTGACTGAGCCAAATTGGCTAGGAATAGTAAACTAATATTCTAATCTTTAACTCTTGTTGTTTTAAATGTTCTTAAAACTGTGGGCAAGTCATTTATGATTTTTAAATAACAATGTATACTTGAAAGAAAAGTGGGAAAGAGGACTTGGGGAAATAATACCTACCTCATGGGGCTACTTTGAGGATTAAAGAAGATAGGTTATGTGAAAATATATTGTAAAGCCCTGTACAGATGTATTAAGTAATGCTATTCTAAGAATGGAATAATTTAAGCATGAACAATGTTTTTAGGTAATTGAAATATTTAAATCTGTGAAGCACAACTATTGTTATATGAATTCTACAAATATATAAACTTCAACAGTAGATAAAACTAATATATTGGTAATAAGGACAGATAAAATTTTTAAATTTCATGAGACATACTTTATGCAGATCTTGAAATTTCAAAAAAACTGTCAGGGAATAGCCTTAGAGTCATTAATTCCCATTTATTTGATGTCTTTTAAAGGGAAGGATTTATGAACCTACTGGAATTTTTTTTTTTTTCACATACATGTATGTCATTACATTACAGGTTTAAAAAGTCAACATTAGGCTATAGTGACACTGTGAGCTTTGCTATGGAAGTAAGTCCTTGGAGTTGTCTTCAGAAGCAAGCAGCATGGGGACGGTAAGTGCTTGCTATATTATTAATATCTGGTTATTGAAATTACATTAATTTTAAGTATTTTAACCTATAAATGCTGTTAATTTATACATGAATAAAAGTATGATAAAGTTGGGGGAATAAACATAATCTTTAAAGTTAGACAGACTTGGGATCAGATCTCAACTCTACCATTTTTCAATTTTATGACCCTGGACAAATTATTTTGTTTTAGTTTTCTCACTATCAAATGAGTTTATAATAATACTTGCTTCACAAGCTTACTACAGTAGTTTAAATAATATTTATGAAGCACCTGGCAAACTTCTATACCAGGGGTCCTCAAACTATGGCCCGCGGGCCACATGCGGCCTGCCGAAAACATTTATCCGGCCCACCGGGTGTTTTTGCCGCCGCTGTGTGCATAGGAATTTGTTCATAATTTTTTTTTAAACTATAGTTCAGCCCTCCAACGGTCTGAGGGACAGTGAACTGGCCCCCTGTTTAAAAAGTTTGAGGACCCCTGTTCTATACTAATAAAAGCATAGTATGCTAATTAGACCAGATGTCCTTCCGGATTAAGCTGGGGCTGCGAGGGAAGCCCAGGTCCCGGGTGCCAGAGGGAAGCCGGTGCCGGCAGCTGGGGGAAGGAAGGCCTACTCTTGCACGAATTTCATGCATCGGGCCTCTAGTATGATATAATCATGTTCATTCATTTTTCAAGGAAAAGAAAAAAGTTGTGATCTCATTATTTCAAACAAAATTATGCTGTTTAGCTACATGCTTAGAAGACATCTGAAGTATGCATTTTAGGATATTCTTATCTTACTGGTTAAATATAACTCTATCATTGGTGGACATGGCTAATCAAAGTGAGATGAATACAGCCCTGGAAAAATAAGCATAGGTGATCAACAAAATGCAAAGTGTGGTACAAATGATATGTGCAGTGAAAATTAAAAGAATAAAAAGAATAGTGTTAATGGTTTATGGTTAAATGTGGCCTTTCTAGGGATTTTCAGGGGTTTAGATGTATTTATGAGCTGCTGAGAGTTCTTGATATGCTGAGTAGGAAAAGGAAGAAAACAGTTTCAGGCCCTACGGATTTGCCCCCCAAATTGTATCTTCTTCCTCCTGCTCCAGTCCAGAGGCAGCTGTGTCTGTTTTTTCTATCAAAAGAATGGCTTCACATAGAAGTGGTTGGAATGATTATTGGTGGGATACTAAAGTCAAAGATGAATGAAGAGACCTTAAGGGGAATACTTAAATGTAATTCCTTAGAAGAAACTTGAATTCATTTCAGGGTACCAAGATTACTTCCAAAAGAGGTACCTGAAGAACCATGGACAACTGTAGAGATAGGGCCAGAATGAAGATACAGGCAAGGGCTCTTTTAGTTTCAAATGGCAGAAGGAGGATCTGTAGATTGGTAGACCAGATTATTTGACAGCTTGACATTGATGGTCAGATGAGATGCTATTGTAGTCACTTATTGTTCCCAGAACAAAATTGAGAATATTGCCTGGCCTAGTGGTTCAGTTGGTTGAGTGTTGTCCTGTACACCAAAAAGGTTGTGGGTTTGAATCCTGCTCAGGATGCATACATAAGTTGCCAGTTTGATCCCCAGTTGGGGCACATACAGGAGGCAACTGATTGATGTTTCTCTCCCACGTTGATGTCCCTCCCCCCCGCCTTCCTCTCTCTCTAAAATCAATAAAAATATCCTCGGGTGAGGATGAAAAAGATTGAGAAGTATGGGCTATATATTAACATGTAGACAAATTTGTGACTTGATCAACTGCCATACCCAAAGAATGCTAATTTGGTGATATCCCTTTCCCTTCCTCCTACACTATTTTGTGTAGCTGGAATTTTATAGATATCTCTTTAGAAAATAAGAACAGAGCTAAGCTATTGAAGAGGTCTCCGATGGCATGATTAGGGCCATGCCCTTAGTCCTCTCCTATTCCATATTATTAGTGATTTGATAGTAGAGAGTATGCTCATGATATTTGCAAATGACATGAAGCTGGGAGGCTTGGGAAATACACTGGGTTAATCTGAAAAATATCTTGAGAAGTAGAAGAGTTGTGCTTAATCTAAAAGAAGAAATGTTTTCATTAAATTATTTTATAAGTATATACTCACAAACTGTTGAATTTCAGAAATAAGTGATGGGAAAATTTTGGCCTTTTAACTTAATGAAACATTCTTTTGCTCAGTAATAATTGTAGTGATATACTGATCATAACAGTATGCTTTTTATAGAAAATAAATATTTTAATTTTTATTTTAAGGATGTGAAAAGAATATACACTATTATAATGTTTTTAAGTAGTTAAAAAGAAAATATATATTGATATTTCAGCAGCTCTTATTAATAATCATTTGTGGGTTTGTCTTTTTAGGAGTGTGGTTGACTTTTTTCTGGTGATAACACAGCTGGGATTCTGTAGTGTTTATATTGTCTTCTTAGCTGAAAATGTGAAACAAGTAAGTATTTTTCTCCAGTTATTGAAATCATTTTCTTCCAATGCCATAATTATAGCATCATGTTTCCTCTGAGTAAGCCATGGCCAAATATGCAAATGTGTTTCTTTCATTAATTATGTTTCTTTGTAGATTTTTCTTTAGTTGGATTTCTGCTATTGCTGATCTTACTTTTCTTATCATTATATCAATAATGCTTGTTCGCAGGCACAATTTACTGAGTCTTAGCTACTCAAATTTTAGGTACACAGATGTTCAGGAGCATATTCTTTACGTTGATGTTTTATAAAGACATATATAAGGCTTTAGCCGGCGGCCTAAAGAGTGAAGTACAAAAGTGGACATTACTAAAATGCAACAATTATTGCCATGGTCTAAAAAGATGCTATGTCCAGAAGTGTACAGTGTTTTTTAATTTTCTCCATATGTAAATATTTGCTTCAAGAGGAAGTGGTTTGCAGTTTTAATAGGGACTGTCGATTTGAACAAATATGCAAAGCACTGAAATAAAAAGCTCCTCTATCAAAACAGTGACAGAGCACATTTCTGTATGTGCTTTCACTGGTAGTTTGCCTTTATTATTCCTACATTACACCCTGCTCTTTCTTTATTTTAATTAATAGAATTTATTATCCACATGTGTATGGTGCAATACTAGGCATTTTACATAGTAATATGTAGTACTTGTCTTCTAGGTATTTTAATGCAAAATTATAATGTGACTGTTTTCTAAAGAACCCGTATGTATACATATAAGTATATCTGATTCATTTTTCTAAGTATAAAGAATACTTTATTTTTTTATTTTATTTATATATTATTGCTTAAAGTATTACAAAGAGTATTACATATTCTCCTTCTTTTTCCCCCCCTTGACAGTCCCCTGGCCTCCCATACCCCCCAGTGTCTTATGTCCATTGGTTATGCTTATATTCATGCATACAAGTCCTTCGGTTGATCTCTTACCCCCTTCCCACCCCCCAACCCTCCCCAGCCTTCCCGCTGTAGTTTGACAAAAAAAAAAAGAAAAGAACTGATAAATGTGTCATATAGTATAAGTAAGCAAGTGGGATGGAAGAGAAGATTTACTTCATATACCAAATCATAACGAATCTTTTCATTAACATTTTGAGCCCCCTACATGCAGGAGGAACTGGGGAGGAACAGAATAATAAACAGTAAACCACCAGAAAAAAAAGAATATTTTATATTTAGACCAGGGATTGGCACACTTTTCTGTAAAAGGCCAGATAATAAGTATTTTCAGTGTTGCTGGCCATATGGCCTTTGTCTCAACTCAGCCGTAAACAACACTACATAAGCAAATAGATATGGCTGTATTTCAATAAAATTGTATTTGCAAAAATAGGCTGGATTTGGTCTTTGGGCCATAGTTTGCTAAAGCCACTGGCTTAGATTTCTATTGTTGGAAAGGCTTATTGAATCAAACCCCCTTTTATAAAAGAGAGAATTGATGCTTTCATTAGCATTACTCATTATAGATGATGTACTTTTAATTTTGCAAGTAGTTAACTTCACAAGTTGCAATTTTCTAGGACTACTAACTCAGTTGAGAGGCTATTTATTGTCAAGAACTGATAAGACATATCATCTTACCAATCATTTATGTAGAATACAATGGAAATGATGCCTTTCTAGGATTGTGCAACATGGTAGTATACTGTATCTTTTTTATTATCTCCTAAGAGAGCAACCAAAAAGCTTGATTTGAATTTATGAATAATGCTAATGATGCCTTATAATTTTATATTTATAAGCTATATCATTTAATCTTTACAACTACTCTGTAATATAATGTAAATACTATGCTCATTTTATGAATGAGGAAACTGAGTCTTGCCATATGTGAGTAATGTGCCCTAAGTCATATAAATTAGGTTGAAATTTAAGTCTGACACAGCTGCCACCCAGTATATTCATTGCTCATCACTGGACAGAACACTGTCTGATTTTAGTTTTGTGTGTGTGTGTGTGTGTGTGTGTGACATAAAGAGTATATAAAGTACATAAAATGAATATCTGAAGCTTAGGATTGGTGACGTTCTCCTACAAAATACTATCAGTTGCTTCCAAAGGTAAATAGAAGAAATTAACTCATTTGCACGTGTGCTAGAACACCAGGTAGAAAAGTGATGCTCTGGGAGGTAAGAAGAATGCCTGTTATGGATAGAAAGATGAAAGGCCTTGTGAGAAATAACGGGCAACATGGAAAAAGACGTTCATTGAGACTTGAGAAAAATGGAAAGGAATGATGAACATGTCACCTCCGCACAGCAGACAGATGGTCACTGAAACAGCAGCATCAGAGATTTCCACTCTCTCCAGAGGTGCTCTCTTACATCTGATAGCAGTCTCTGGTAGTTTGATCAAACTTTACCAACACTCAGGTTGATCAAACCTTATCAATTACTATTACTGTTACAGTTAAAAATGGTAAGATTATTACCGCCTTAATCCACATAAAATTGAAAGTGTAGTATTTCATCAAACTAAAGAAGTAAGGGTTTAGTTGCTATACAGATGTGTGAACCTCCTGCTCTGCAGCTGCTATATGGCTGTCTCATTACACCACCGTGGACAATTGGGGGGTGAAAAAGCCATAGTGCTCGCCATGATTTAGTCCATTGTGGTTATAGCTCCTCTTGGTTCTTACTCTAAGATACTCTAGAACATTTCAGAGAGATGAAATAGTATATATGGGCCTTATGAGAAATGAAGAGTTGGGAAGGGATATTAGATTAAATAAAAAGATTTGGTATGGACTTTAGAGTCAAAAGATCTGAATTCAAATCCCTGCTCTCTCAGTTTTAACGCACTCATTGGGCAAGATCCCCTTATCCCTACTCAAGTCTCAGTTTCCTTGTTTGTAAAATGGGAATAGTAATAAAAGCTCCCCTTGTTCCCTTATTGTGAGGTTCAGCTGACAAAAGGGTTGTGAAAGCCTTTGTAAACTGTCAAGCAGCATACAAATGTAGGGTATTATGGCTTTGATTTTGATTTTAGCTTTGCTGAAAAACATAACCTGCTTTGAAATTTTAACCATTAGATTACTGAATAATTGAAAAAAAAGTTAATAAGTAGTGATTTTTAATCAATTTGAGCTCTAACTGGAAACAACTGAATTTAGTAATTTTATTTTATAATATTTATTTCAGTGTTTTGCATTTTGGTAAACATGTGAGATCATAGGAAGTCCTATTAGATAGCCAATCTCTGTCTCTAGAGGGCACCAAAGGACTCAAATGTTTACCTGAATCTTGCTCTAGGTATGTATCTACACTTTTATTTTATTTTTTAATCCTGAAAATTTTTATAATTATTGTTCTGCCAAAGAATACTAAATTATGAGATATTTGTGATAGAATTAATTTCAGATTCCCAAGCACCTCATGATTCAAAAAAACATTTTTAAAACTGGTTATGTAACTGCTTTTCTCTTGCCAGCTATCCTTGTTAGCACCTAACTTTGATCAATATCTAATCTGATTATTGGAGTTACTTCTTTGATGCAAAAGTATTTGGCTCCAAATAATTTGGCTACTGAGAAAATTGAGTCAACAAATAAAATATCTTCTTAAGAGCCAAGCATTGTGCTTACCAGTTTAGCTTCTATTTCAAATGATAGAAAATAAAATACAAAGTTTTGATGGCCACTTACAAGATTAATGTAAGCTATACATTTCTTAAGTGGTGCATGGTGTAACCTTACAGTCCAGTATGAGTAAGAAATTGCCTATATAATTTAAAACTAGTAGATACATTCCCTGCAGTTGAAGATGATTTGTACATTTTTAGGTGTTTATTGTGGATTATTAAGTATAAAATTAAAGTTAACACTTGAATTGTTAATCACATGAGAATCTGTTCTGAACTTCTAATTTGTTGGCCTGTTAATACTTAATCTATGTAGAGAGAGAGATGTTGGAGGGGAAGCCAGGTGGCTACTTGGGCAGGGCGGCAGTATTTTATCAGGTCAACATGTAGCTCTTACAAGCTAGATTCTGGAGTCTCAAGCCTAGGTTTGAATTCTCCAACCAACACTTACTGACTTGAAATTATGTAAGCTTTTTTTTACCCTCCATAAACCTCAGCTTCCTCAACTATAAATTGAAATTAATACTACCACCCACCTCAGAGAGCTGTTTTGAGAATTAAATGAGATGCTGTATAGATACATAGAAAGTACTCTATTAAAAATATCTGCTATTCGCCCTAGCTGGCTTGGCTCAGTGGATAGAGCTTCAGCCTGCGGACTGAGGGGTCCCAGGTTCGATTCTGGCCAAGGGCATATGCCTGGGTTGCAGGCTCCATCTCCAGTAGGGGGTGTGCAGGAGGCAGCCGATCAATAATTCTCTCATCATTGATGTTTCTATCTCTCTCTCCTTCTCCCTTCCTCTCTGAAATCAATATTATTTATAAATATATTTAAAAAATAAGTAAATAAAAATACTTGCTATTTATTAGTATAGAATCTGGTTCTTGAAATTTTATGTATTCAGAAACTTGATAAGTTATGCTCAAAAGAGGGTACAGTGTTGGGGGCAAATAGATTTTCACTGGTATTTAAATTATAGTAAGATCAGTCTCTGCTGTGAATTTTTAAAATTGTTTTTAAAGTTCTCTGTCATTTCATTACTATATTAGTGAGTTGGGTTATGTGATTAATTGAATCAGAGACACATTGTAATACATGGATCCTATAAATCATTGTATCTCTTTTGAAAACTGAATATTAGTTTATAAAAGTGGCTGAATAAATTTTAAGGTAAAGTTGACTTATCTTAAAGAAGGTTTTTTCTTTAACAAAAATTTATCTACTGTCTAACATATGGCCATGCATGAATTTAGTGGATTCTTAATAAATACTTATGGATATGATGATCATGTAAAAACAATTGATTTTTACAACAGTTTTAAAGCTACTATGATTTCTAAATTTTATTTGGGCTACTGTACATTTCTAAGAGGCACTTGGAGCTTTCTGCTGTGAAGAAAGTAAGCTGAAGTAGCCTACCAGTGGCCATTCTAGACAGTAAGCCGCCTCTTCTGATGGTCTCAGAAGCAGATTAAGCCTTTGCAGGATCATGAAGCATCATGGTTAGTCACAAAGCTTCAAAATGAGTTAGTAAATCTACCCTCATCATTTTCTAGTCATTTTTCTGTTCACAGTATGGTAAAAATTATTTTGCAAAGAAGAGTGTCCTATTTTAATATCCTTAAATT